TGTGTATATCCCTGTATATATCCCTTTATTATATCCCTGTATATATCCCTTTATTATATCCCTGTATATATCCCTTTATTATATCCCTGTATATATCCCTTTATTATATCCCTGTATATATCCCTTTATTATATCCCTGTATATATCCCTGTATATATCCCTTTATTATATCCCTGTATATATCCCTTTATTATATCCCTGTGTATATCCCTTTATTATATCCCTGTATATATCCCTTTATTATATCCCTTTATTATATCACTGTATATATCCCTTTATTATATCCCTGTATATATCCCTTTATTATATCCCTGTATATATCCCTTTATTATATCCCTGTATATATCCCTTTATTATACCCTGTATATATCCCTTTATTATATCCCTGTATATATCCCTGTATATATCCCTTTATTATATCCCTGTATATATCCCTGTATATATCCCTTTATTATATCCCTGTATATATCCCTTTTTTATATCCCTTTATTATATCCCTGTATATATCCCTGTATATATCCCTTTATTATATCCCTGTATATATCCCTTTATTATATCACTGTATATATCCCTTTATTATATCCCTGTATATATCCCTTTATTATATCCCTGTATATATCCCTGTATATATCCCTTTATTATATCCCTGTATATATCCCTTTATTATATCCCTGTATATATCCCTTTATTATATCCCTGTATATATCCCTGTATATATCCCTTTATTATATCCCTGTATATATCCCTGTATATATCCCTTTATTGTATCCCTGTATATATCCCTTTTTTATATCCCTTTATTATATCCCTGTATATATCCCTTTTTTATATCCCTTTATTATATCCCTGTATATATCCCTGTATATATCCCTTTATTATATCCCTGTATATATCCCTTTATTATATCACTGTATATATCCCTTTATTATATCCCTGTATATATCCCTTTATTATATCCCTGTATATATCCCTGTATATATCCCTTTATTATATCCCTTTATTATATCCCTGTATATATCCCTTTATTATATCCCTGTATATATCCCTTTATTATATCCCTGTATATATCCCTGTATATATCCCTTTATTATATCCCTGTATATATCCCTTATTATATCCCTGTATATATCCCTTTATTATATCCCTGTATATATCCCTTTATTATATCACTGTATATATCCCTTTATTATATCCCTGTATATATCCCTTTATTATATCCCTGTATATATCCCTTTATTATATCCCTGTATATATCCCTGTATATATCCCTTTATTATATCCCTGTATATATCCCTTTATTATATCACTGTATATATCCCTTTATTATATCCCTGTATATATCCCTTTATTATATCCCTGTATATATCCCTGTATATATCCCTTTATTATATCCCTGTATATATCCCTTTATTTTATCCCTGTATATATCCCTTTATTATATCCCTGTATATATCCCTTTATTATATCCCTGTATATATCCCTTTATTATATCCCTGTATATATCCCTTTATTATATTCCTGTATATATCCCTTTATTATATCCCTGTATATATCCCTGTATATATCCCTGTATATATCCCTGTATATATCCCTTTATTATATCCCTGTATATATCCCTTTATTATATCCCTGTATATATCCCTTTATTATATCCCTGTATATATCCCTTTATTATATCCCTGTATATATCCCTTTATATATCTCTGTATATATCCCTTTATTATATCCCTGTATATATCCCTGTATATATCCCTGTATATATCCCTGTATATATCCCTTTATTATATCCCTGTATATATCCCTTTATTATATCCCTGTATAAATCCCTTTATATATCCCTGTATATATCCCTTTATTATATCCCTGTATATATCCCTTTATTATATCCCTGTATATATCCCTTTATTATATCCCTGTATATATCCCTTTATTATATCCCTGTATATATCCCTTTATTATATCCCTGTATATATCCCTTTATTATATCCCTGTATATATCCCTTTATTATATCCCTGTATATATCCCTTTATATATCCCTTTATTATATCACTGTATATATCCCTTTATTATATCCCTGTATATATCCCTTTATTATATCCCTGTATATATCCCTTTATTATATCCCTGTATATATCCCTTTATTATATCCCTGTATATATCCCTTTATATATCCTTGTATATATCCCTTTATTATATCCCTGTATATATCCCTGTATATATCCTTGTATATATCCCTGTATATATCCCTTTATTATATCCCTGTATATATCCCTTTTTTATATCCCTTTATTATATCCCTGTATATATCCCTGTATATATCCCTTTATTATATCCCTGTATATATCCCTTTATTATATCCCTGTATATATCCCTTTTTGTATTTTGAAATATATTTCGTTTAACTATACATAGCTAATAATTCATTTAGAAAATTAGTGCTATTAGAAAATTAGAAACCTATAATTTAAACTTTGTTTCAAATTTTGGAAAAATATGTTAAGTCTCTTAGACAGTGTAACAGTTTCAATCTTCTTCTGTTTGCACAGTGAATACCGACAGCAAAATGAGGTTCTTCAAAAGAAACTAAAAAAAAAACGAACGTACTATAATTTAATGAGTTGAATACATAGTCCCAGCGTGTATACAGCTGACAGATTATGACATTGGTCAAACGAAACTGTCAGCTCCGTTCTTCCATTTTACAGTGAAGGTATATCAACGGTTTCACTAAATCATACAAAAATAATTATTTATCTTGCTTTTTGCACCTGACATTTTCCATATATAAGAGCTCCTATTTTTCATGTAATTAAGTGTGTAAACACTTTACATCATAAACATTTTTTTTTATACACAGAGTTTGTTAGCAAGCAAATTTCATAGTTTTTTTTTGTTCTGCAGTCCGAGTTTATCTTATTGTACATGCTGTTAGCAGCTGGCCAAAACAGGTATAGTGAAGACGTCATACACCCTCGTGTCTTCACATTTTACATATTTCTTAATAGATAATCTTCATTAATAAGAACTAATAATGGTTTTCTTCTGATTATTAGGTCTTTCCACTTTTCTGTGGAAAGACCTATTGGTTTTCTTCTGATTATTAGGTCTTTCCACTTTTCTGTGGAAAGACCTATTGTTTTTCTTCTGATTATTATTAGGTCTTTCCACTTTTCTGTGGAAAGACCTATTGTATTTGTTCTGATTATTATTTTTTAGGTCTTTCCACTTTTCCGTGGAAAGACCTATTGGTTTTGTTCTGAGATTTTATTTTTTTTCTTCCGCCACATTTTGTTCTTGCGTAGAATTGTGGTTTTGCAAGATGTCGCTTAGATTTTTGGCATATGATATCGAACAGTTATTGCGCTTTTGGAACTGACCCTGTTAAACTGTACACTTTACGTTGTAAGAGTTATCTCCCCGAACACTGTTTTTCTTGTGTCCACTACTCCTTCGCAACCGTAAAAGATTACGACAAATTTATTTTACCAAAGTGCTTCCTATATCTTCAAGATGATGAGTCGGTTTGCACCAAAGTTCTCCGGAGTCTCCATATGAGAGTTATTTCCCCTTATGCATTTGATATAAGTGATATGCATATAAACTCATAAACCGTAAGCCGTATAAACCTAGAGTCGCTTTATTGAAGGTCCTTGGGTCCCAACTTATAAAATTAGGTCAAGGTCAAAGGTCAAGGTCATGTTCTAAATTTTGACATTCACTTCAAACTGCTTTTACTCAGAAAAAAGTTAGGGGTAAAATTGAAAAAAATGTGAGCAAAATGTTAGTCGCGACATTACTTATGTCGTGAATATTTGTCGAAATAATACGCGTAGTATTTTAGGGGTTTTCATGCCACTGAAATGGAAAAATCAACAAATTGACTAATTATAGCTTCAAACTTTACAGCTCTCATGATTCGTACATGCGATTTATCTTTGTAAATCATCAAATGCCCACAACTACCCATTTAGCCCCCCCCCCCCCCTTTTGTTTAGGAATCCCATTTCTATTTTATTATAAAAATGCTAATCCTTCTTTTTTCATGAATAAATTTCTTTCTGAAATACAAAAATACAAATCTATTCCTGCAAAATAAAATATCTGCTCCAAATCATGTACATGTATTTCTGAAAATTAATCGATAAACGTTTTGTTAAAGTACTATAACACCAGCATTGTTTTTGTGTGCATGCAATGATGGGTCGACCAGTGGTCAGCGATTGGACAATAGTTTACCTGTAAAAAAATCGAAAAAATATATTTTCCGGTAGCAGTATAAATCACCTGCAGTCCGCTTAACAATCTGGATTGAGAAATTAAAATCAATTACGTAGAATTCCCCTCCAAAGTTCGTAAATAGTAGTAAAATCCTAGAATCAAATGTCTAAACATGCATTAAAATGAAATCTGTGTTCCCGTAAATATATGTACGAAAAAAGCATGCATGATCCGACATCAATGACCTGTAAATGAAAGAAAATTTAAATCCGTTAGCTGACAATCTTTATACATAGGTCTGGTCTTGACGACAATCCCTCTGCAACTAAATTTTAAAAACAGTCTTTCTGTGTATATCGATCAGCTTGGTGACGTCACAATCACACCATCCATCCGGTGCAGCGCGTGCTACCTAAAATAAAATAGGGTATTTCCCTTTTTCGAAAAGAATTAAAATGCATGTGCACGTACAGGTTAAATACAAAAGATCCATGCAGGTTAGGTCCGATGTCCTTTAATTATAAAATTGAAAACAATGCACACACAATAAGTAAATAAGACACAAGTACTGGGAAGCCTTATAAAAAAAGAGAACATTTATAAAGGAAAATGCAAGGATACTTTTTGTAAGTGTGTTTAAATCCTTGCATGTTCCTACAAATGTCATAATTTGAATATAAATAAACATGTTGCAAGGACCCGTTTTCGCGGTTCCTAGGTCCCAAGTGTTTGAACACGGGAACTAGGCTCTCAATTCCTTTTTCGCGCATTCCTTAAGCCTAGGTCCTAAGTGTTTAAACACGGGAACTAGGCTCTCAATTCCTTTTTCGCGTATTCCTTAAGCTTAGGTCCCAAGTGTTTAAACACGACCACTAGGCTCTCAATTCCTTTATCGCGTATTCCTTAAGCCTAGGTCCCAAGTGTATAAACACGGGAACTAAGCTCTCAATTCCTTTTTCGCGTATTCCTTAAGCCTAGGTCCCAAGTGTTTAAACACGGGAACTAAACTCTCAATTCCTTTTTCGCGTATTCCTTAAGCCTAGGTCCCAAGTGTTTAAACACGGGAACTAGGCTCTCAATTCCTTTTTCGCGTATTCCTTAAGCCTAGGTCCCAAGTGTTTAAACACGACCACTAGGCTCTCAATTCCTTTTTCGCGTAATCCTAGAGGCTAGGTCTCAGGTGTTTAAACACGGCCACTAGGCTCTCAATTCCTTTTTCGCGTATTCCTAGAGGCTAGGTCTCAAGTGTTTAAACACGGCCACTGGGCTCTCAATCCTTTTTTCGCGTATTCCTAGATGCTAGGTCTCACGTGTTTAAACACGGCCACTAGGCTCTTAATTCCTTTTTCGCGTATTCCTAGAGGCTAGGTCTCACGTGTTTAAACACGGGCACTGGACTCTCAATTCCCTTTTCGCGTTGACCTAGTGGCTCGGCCCCATGTGTTTAACCAACCAACCAACCAACCAACCTACCTACCTACCAACCAACCAACCAACCAACCTACCTACCTACCAACCAACCAACCATTACATGCATGTTTCGGTCCGTTGTGTTAAATACGGGTCCAAGATCTCATTTGTTTCGTGTTTGCTTGTTTCAAGCGACCCTATCTCACGTGCGTAATAAGTCAATCAATCAATCAATCAATCAATCATTCAATCAATCCATCAATCAATCAATCAATCAATCAATCAATCAATCATGTTTCGGAGGGGAAAGACCGTTAACAATTGTTTTTAAAACAATTGATTTATATTTTTTTTTTTTCTTCCGCCTAATTTTGTTCTTGCGATAAATATTTGTTTCGCAATATGTCGCTTAGATATTTCTTACATTGTATCGTACAGTGTATGCGCTTTTAAATTTCACCCTGCTTAGCCGAAGAATTTTCTTTGTAAGAGATATCTCCCTATTAACTGTTTATCAAGTGTGTGCATCTCCTTTGTAACAAATAAAGATATGGACAAAATTCTTTTTCTAAATTGTTCGTTACATTCTCAGGAATTTTTGCCAAATTGGATCGAAGCGATTCCATGAATTTTTTTCGGAGTTATCTACCTTTATGAAATAAATTTGTCGTTATGTTTTTGTAACTCATAAACCGTAAGCCGTATAAACCTATAGTCTTTTTATTTGAGGTCATTGGGGCCTAACTTAGAAAATGAGGTCAAGGTCAAAGGTCAAGTTCTCAATTTTGTCTTTTGCTTGTTTTTGCATTTTCTCTGATATTTTTAACGTTATATATAAAAGAACTAGTGCAAAATGTTTGTTTTATTGTGATGAAGATATGATACATTTGGTCTGAAACAATCCAGTGACATCTTATAGGAGTTATTGACCCTGAAATGTTTTATTTTAAGGTAAATTGATTTTTACTTCAGATTGGTACATGATAAAGCAATACGGTCTTTAAGAAAATGTTAAGTGACATGTGACCTTGAAAAATATCAACCGGAAGTGACCTGGAGTTAACCAGAAGTAGTAATTTTTGCACTTATTTTATGTAAAAATACATAGAAACCATATATGTTTTGAATGGTCATACTTTAACCTATCATTTGAGACCAGAAGTGACATTTAAAAACCGGAAGTAGCATATTATCTCCCTTATTACAGGCATAAGTATAAACCAACTATATATTTTTGGAATCAGTGTGAATAAAGCTATCAAAGGAGACCGGAAGTGACTTTTTCTAAAACGGAAGTAATCAATTATCTCCCTTTTTACGGGCAAAAGTATATATAAACCATATATTTTTGGAATCAGTGTAAATAAAGCCGAGGTCCCAAGTGTATAAACACGGGAACTAAGCTCTCAATTCCTTTTTCGCGTATTCCTTAAGCCTAGGTCCCAAGTGTTTAAACACGGGAACTAAACTCTCAATTCCTTTTTCGCGTATTCCTTAAGCCTAGGTCCCAAGTGTTTAAACACGGTAACTAGGCTCTCAATTCCTTTTTCGCGTATTCCTTAAGCCTAGGTCCCAAGTGTTTAAACACGACCACTAGGCTCTCAATTCCTTTTTCGCGTAATCCTAGAGGCTAGGTCTCAGGTGTTTAAACACGGCCACTAGGCTCTCAATTCCTTTTTCGCGTATTCCTAGAGGCTAGGTCTCAAGTGTTTAAACACGGCCACTGGGCTCTCAATCCTTTTTTCGCGTATTCCTAGATGCTAGGTCTCACGTGTTTAAACACGGCCACTAGGCTCTTAATTCCTTTTTCGCGTATTCCTAGAGGCTAGGTCTCACGTGTTTAAACACGGGCACTGGACTCTCAATTCCCTTTTCGCGTTGACCTAGTGGCTCGGCCCCATGTGTTTAACCAACCAACCAACCAACCAACCTACCTACCTACCAACCAACCAACCATTACATGCATGTTTCGGTCCGTTGTGTTAAATACGGGTCCAAGATCTCATTTGTTTCGTGTTTGCTTGTTTCAAGCGACCCTATCTCACGTGCGTAATAAGTCAATCAATCAATCAATCAATCAATCATTCAATCAATCCATCAATCAATCAATCAATCAATCAATCAATCAATCATATATCTATTGAATCAGTAAGAAGAAACCTATGATTTGACTCCAATAGTAGCTTTGAGTAAACCAGAAGTAGCTTCTTATCAATTATTTAGAAAATTGATGTGGAAAGACCTTCAATTGTTGTTTGAACAATTGGTTTTTAATTGTTATTATTTTTTTCTTCTTCCGCCACTTTTTTCTGACAGTGCTTTTTTGTTTCGCAAGATGTCTCTTAGATTTTTTGCGCATGATATCGAACAATAATTACGATTTTAAAACTGATCCTGCTAAGCCGAACACTTTTTATTGTAAGAGTTATCTCCCCAAACACTGTTTTTCTTGTGTACAAATCTCCTTCGCAACCGTTAAAGATTACGACAAAATTATTTCACCAATTTGCTTGTTATATCTTCAGGATCTTAAAAATAATTTTGACCGAAGCGGTCCGGAGACTACATATGGGAGTTATTTCCCCTTTTGTATTTTTAATTAGAAAAATGTAGTTGTAGCTTGTAAACCATAAGTGATAAAGACCTAGCGTCTTTTGATTTGAGATCTTTGGTCCAAAAAAAAAGAAAATAGGGCCAAGGTCAAAGGTCAAGGTCATTTTTTAAATTTGATTTTGGATTATTTTCACCACTTTTCAAACACGATATAAGATATTGACAACATATTTTTACTTAATTGCAAGTTGCGACTTGTCGTAACACATACATATTGGTTTAAAGGGTGCGCTTACATCAAATTAGAGTTTTCTCCCCTCTTTATTTAAAAATATGCATATGGTGATATAACTCATGAACCAAATATAATTAAGATCTAGGGTCTTTTGATTTGAGGTCCTTGGTTGATGACCTTGAAATTGAGCCCAAGGTCGTAGATTAAATTGACGTTCTAGATTTTGACCTCATTTGTATACATGATAAAGCCATGGGACTTTTTGCATTTAGTTGCAAGCCATATGACCTTGAAAAAGGAACCGGAAGTGACACTGTGTAAACCGGAAGTAATAATTTTTTTGTACTTTTTGAATGTAAAAGTATATAGAACCATATTTTTTGGGAATCAGTGTCAATTAAACAGTTAAATAATACCGGAAGTAACCTTTTTCAAACCGGAAGTAAAAAATTATCTCCCTTATTTAAAAAATATTGTATAGAAACCATATATTTTTGGAATCAGCGTACTGTAAGCTATCATTTGATGCTGTTAATGACATTTTAAACCGAATTTTTACTATTTTCACATCAAAATACTTGTTTTTTTGTGGAAAGACCTTCAATTGTTCTCTGAACGAACAATTGGTTTTTAATTAGGTTCTTTGTTTCTTCAATCAAAGTATATGTTGTGTTTGTATCTATTCTGTTTCTGTATCATATTACGTATACACCATTTTCTACATAAGAAAATGCCTATACCAAGTCAGGAATATGACAGTTGTTTTTCATTCGTTTGAAGTGTTCGAGCTTTTGATTTTGCTATTTGATAAAGGATTTTCCATTTTGAATTTACCTTGGAGTTCGGTATTTTTGTTATCTTACTTTATACTCTACATATTTATTCAAAATTAATGCTAAAAATTGATTGAATGTCCTTTAACCTTTCATCTCTCCAGAAAAAAGTGATATAATAATAAAAATAATGAACATTAAGATTGAGAATGTATTTTTCTAATGATGAGAACACATATGTAAGAACTTCCTGTCATTTTGAACGCTAATAGACAAATATCGTCAAAACATACACCCACATCATGTTTGTGATAGATACTCTTAGTTATTTGCAAAAGTTTGCAACCCTGATTATTCCTAATATATTGTTATTTATTCAAACTTTCACAAATGCCTTTTTCCGACATGATCATAAATCTTTCACATTTCCAGGTCATAGTTCATTGCATTATGGCTGATTGTGTAATTCACGAACGAAATGTATTGTTGATTTAACAAATTGCTCATTTCATGAATTTGAATGATTTAACCATTGATTGCTGTTATAATTTTAAACCATTTCTGCTCCCAGTAAGCAGTAATTTATTTCCCTGTGCATTTAGTTTAAAGGTGCGCCGTTAAAGCAAGTTGGATTGCATTATGTATGTTTATTTATAAGTTTTAATAATACATATTGATAATATCACCACGTATCAACAAAGAACTATTGAGGGACACAAATTGTTAGTAAGACTAATGGGCACGATGCATTCGGAGTAATACGGATAAAAAAGGCAGCAAATACCTCATGGAGAATGAAACCCACAAGTCGAAGAGAGGTCGAAGACATTTTGACATAAGAACGAAGATTTATCAGCACAAACCAACCAACAACCTGTTAACATAGCAGGTACTTCAAAAGGGTAGGCATATCTAGCTCCTCATTTAGTATCCATGTCTAACTTAGGGCAAAAACAATGTTGAAGTTGAGTCTTTTTAGATTATGTCACAATCGAGGAAAAACGATGGTAGAGTGACTGGCTACGAAAATTGGATCATATCCCTGTTCAAAAGTGACACAAATTTTAGTCTTTATAATCTTAACACCTTCAAATAACCAAAAAAAGATATATTTCCATAAAAAACTATCATGTGTTAACAATAAGAAGACAAACAGAAAGCACGAAGGACGTTGTGATTCGATGCATGTCAAAAACTTCAAAATTTAATCAATTATTTTGGGTTTTTTTAAGAGGCTTTAATGAAAAGGTAGTAAACAAAAAATGATTAATTAAAACTCATTAGTCGAATGACAACGCATTGAGAAAAAACGAAAGACGACGAAAGACAGACATGTCAACTAAACACTACATAGAAGACGAAAGACTGAGCAACACGAACCCAACCTTAAATTGGAGTTGATTTCAGATGCAATATTACAGATTATGTAATTCCCGAAAGCAAAGTTTAGACAATTTGTTCAATTCTTGAATGTTAATGATTTGCCTTTTAATCAATGTTACAATTTAGCATCATTTATGTTTCCCATAATGTGTAATTTAATCCCCCTTGACGTTAGTTTCAAGTTGTATCTTTTATGCAAGTTGGAAAATGTTATATTTATATTTTGTATTTATTGTCGTCAAATATCTCCCAACACTGCTTTCTTGCATGATAAACCTTTAAAACCGAACAAACAACAAATAACAAGCAAAAAATTTGTTTTATGACTTTAAGCAGATGTTAAGCACTCAAAGGATTGGCCGTTAGTAGGAAAAAGGGTATGATTGAAAGTTTGTATAAACCTCCAAAATGGTATCATTTATTCTTGCAAAATCAAATATGAAAAACCTCGAATCATTTTTACCAAAAGAGTAAAAAACACCCGCCTGACTTATTTGCGAAACAAACATTTAAAGGGTTTCACCAATATATCTAAATGTGAAGTTCGAATACTTTTTCTAAATATTGTTGTCCTAATCTTTCAGAAGATTGTATATAAATTTACTTTAAATGAAGTAATCGAATGTCTCATTTTTCGTGTTTTTCAGTGGCATATGAGGCTTGGCACTATAGGAATTGCTTAATATAAGTTTTGTTCTTCTTTTAATTTGAGATTCTGTTTGTTATCATGAAGTGAACTTAACAAAACAATCGAAGCTTTGACGTTGTCAATTTGTCGTCGACTCATTAGTAAAACTAAAATCCCATTTCTGTTTTACTGTTTGATTTTAACAAAAGTATTGACAAAATTTATATATCTAGCGTTGTGAAATAGGGGTCTGTGTAAACAAATAAAAAATTCAGAAGTGTTTTGTGCCATATACTTTGTCTAAATATAATGTGTCTAAATATTTTAGTGCTACCACATGTAAAGAGTTATCAAACATCTAACTATGTAAAGATCTTTTTTATTTACGATGTGCTTAGGCATAAAACCACTAATTCGGGCTCGATTAGAAAAAAACATACAATAAAGTAGTAAATATGTTCTGCAGAATAGTTCCTTGGTATAACTGTAACAGGGTAAATAAGTAAAATATTTCGGTAATTTTGGAATCAAATGAAAGCTGCAGGACTAAGGATTACTAAAGATCCTGGTTGAAGGTTTCCTTTGCATAATAACAACTATATGAAACATATAGGCAGGCATGTTTTGCCTGTTGTTCATATAAAAAATACTAGCACTTTGTTTTGTTCTACCAGATAACCGGAAACCAGTGTGCTCTTTTGTGCAATTAAAAAAGGTATGTTAAATTTTGCATCACAATCCCGGTTAAGGTATAGTTTTCACTTGAAATGACTGTCAATTTATTAAAACTCAAGACAACAAAGCCATATTTCACCTGATACATACATCTTGCCCGTAAAACTAACTTCGATTTTACATTAAGATTCCATCAAACAATAGCTTTATTGTACGTATCAGATCTCTGTCTAGGATTTTATGATAGGAAACAGTTGCCAAGGAAATATCATTTTCATCAAATTAGGTGTAAGCAGGGTTCGTCATTATTGTTTCTCCATCCTGAATTGATAAACGTGTTAATGCATTTTACTTCGTTTTGCAATACTAGAGTTTAAGATAACTTTGATATTCTTAACGGAGTTCCTTACTTTTCTAATCATTCTGTTTCCTTTCAGTGGAATTGTTTAGGTGACAAGTTATTTGTTCCATCACATTTCAGCCTATAT